GATTTTATTCACCAATGGCAGCAAAAAATCGGTCACGAGATTAAGGCACATGCTAAAAAAATACGAGGATTCGTCTGGTCAGCTGATTAATTTGGATAAGAGTGGATTTTACACATCTAAGAGGATCCGAGATACTAAAATTCATCTCCTTAAAGAATGGACTGGCTGCATCCATAACTCGTTGCCGTTGAAATATCTCGGGGCTCCAATATACAAAGGCCGTTGTCTCGTGAAACATTTTGATTATTTGATCCAACAGGTTCAACATCGGCTGGCAGGATGGCAATCGTAGTTACTATCTTTTGGTGGTAGAATTACACTGGTACGTTCGGTTCTTTTTAGCCTGCCCACCCACACTCTTTCATCAGCCGTGGTCCCCAAGCAAACCATAGTCAGAATGGAGAGGCTTTTTCGTAAATTTTTATGGGGTAAATATGAAGGATCTGGGATTAATTGGATCAATTGGACGACTATCTGTCAGCCGAAAGATGAAGGTGGCCTTGGTTTTCGCTCATTGCTAGACACTAAGAAGATTATGGTGGGTAAGTTGGCATGGCGGGTCCTCGAAGGTAAAACTCTTTGGGCTCGGTTCGCCAGAGCAAAATACGGGTATGACTTTCAAAGCCAAATTCCAGCTCATGCTTCTTTACTGTGGCGAGAATTATTCCCTCATCTACAACTCTTGGAGAATTATAGTAGATGGATCGTGGGAATAGGGGATATCGATTTTTGGAGAGATCGTTGGATCAACAATGAATGTCTTGATGAAACTCGATCTATCTCTTTCAGGGAGGCTAAGGAACAGCCGCAACAATTTACTCCTCAACTGCAGCCGGAGCAACAAACGATCTTCGATCTTATTGAGCTGGATGAGAGGGTTGAGGATAGATTAATCTTCACAAAATCGATTTCTGGGAATTTTAATGTGGCTGACTATTGGGAGTTGATCCGTTCCAAAGCTTCTCCGAATCCTTTGGCAAAAAAAAATTTGGCATCCTAAAATTCCATATAACATAGGTGCATTTTTCTGGAAACTATCATATGGAGCGATCCCGGTGGACTTGGCTCTTCAAAGGCGGGGCTGCATGACTCCATCCAAATGTCGGTGCTGTGCTGCTCCCAAGCAAGAAAGTCTTTCTCATTTATTCATTCAGTCGGATATTGCTCGTGGTGTTTGGAGTAAGTACGCACGGATTTGGCAGAAACCTTATGTTTATGGGTCTATGAAGCATCTAGTTCAAGTTTGGATGGTTGATGCTAGTATTAACACTCAAGACAGTTTTATGGAGCTTGGTACTCTCATGTTCGGTTGTTGGGAAATCTGGAAAAGTCGGTGCAGGGTAATCTTCGAGGATACTCCGATGAATACGACCACTATTACTCGAAGTATATTCTCACATCTTCGAGCTTTGAACGACGCTTTCTTGGGAAAACGCCCAATGAAACTGATGGGTCGCCTCATAATCCAACAATTAAATTTGGAGGTTAAGTCACCTCCATTGACTAGGGGCAGCTGGATAAAGTGGAACCCTCCGAATCCACTTCAAGTCAAGGTCAACGTGGACGGCTCAAGAAAAGGGGATGAATGTTCCGGTGGTGGGTTAATTCGGACTCACGATGGATCTTTTATTCGAGGTTTTTCTAATCTTTACGGTCAAGGTACTCACATTCTTGCAGAAGCCCAGACAATTCTCGATGGGTTGCGAATTTGTCATGAGATGGGTTTTACACAGGTTAAAGTGGAGTCAGATTCCAAATTAGTTATCGACATGATTTATCATAAAGCCGTAGTTGCATGGGAGTTAATTTACGTCATCAGATGCATTAGAAGACTTCTCAAGGACGATTGGCGCGTGATGCATATTTATCGAGAGGGTAATCGGGTGGCAGATGGGTTAGCTAAGTTGGCTCATGAGCACAAAGAGAGGAAGCTATTTAAAGTTGTAAACGAACTTCCTCGTTATATTAGACCTTTATTACTTCACGATAGGATTGGAATTCCTCAGTTTCGTAGATTTTCAAGAAGCAAATGATGGCGCAAATTAAAAGCAAGGCAGGCTGGTGGAATTGGCAAGCAAATGCATTTTTACTAGCAACTTGGGTGGGGGTCATTCTAGCAATTCCAGCAAATATTGTGATAATGATGGTGAATAGGAAGAGCAGTGTTCGTCAGGTGATAATGGAAGTTGGCAAAGAAGATATTTTGGATAATTACATTAGTGGCAACAAATGGGGGAAATTATGCTATTTTCGTTTTTTTAGCTTTATTAGGCAGCTTTATAGTTTATTTCATTTTAGCCCCATTTTAGGGCCTTTTTGTATGAGAAAGGTTAGGGTTGCCCCAGACTTTTTATTACCATTGTAGGGGTACTCTTTTACCTTGTGAAGGCCCACAAGGTTTTTAACGAGGCCCCAAGTCTTTCGATAATAATGGAATAATAAAGTTTTTTTTTCGGCCAAAAAAATAAAATAAAAAATAAATACACCTACTAGTGTGACGAAATTATTTTTTGTCACACGAAATTGTCACATAAAATACTTTTTTTTTTTGTAGTGAAAGTTTGGTATTTTTATTCTTTTTCTACAAAACATCTAATTGCTTGGATTTTTTTTTTTTTAATTTTCTGAATAAAACCTTTTATTTTTGTCAGTTTGAATTTCTTCATTTTTTTTCTTAAATGTCTTTCGGTGGTTCAAATTCTCAACAATCATAGGATTGTAAAGATGTTTGTAATCTTATGATGTTTGAACTATCGGAAGACATATAAGAGAAAAAATTAAGAAACTCAATGACAAAAACAAAAGGTTTTATTCAGAAAATAAAAATAAAAAATCTAAGCAATTGGATGTTTTGAAGAAAAAAATATAAATACAAAAAAAATTTCCAAGTAAAATTGAATGAAAATGGTAAAAAATATATAGTGAGAATGGCTCAAACAAACCCTTATATATATATATATATATATATATATATATATATATATATATATATATATATATATATATATATATATATATATATATATATATATATATATATATATATATATATATATATATATATAAATGCTCACATGATGAGAGTTCACTTTCTAAGTAAATTAGATTCTTAAATGAGAGCTCAAGTGGGCTCTCTCTCTCTCTCTCTCTCTCTCTCTCTCACATATAATTTTTTTGTCAAATAAAAAACATGAGTACCGACCTTTCAAAAACCTCTTCACATAATTAGGGCACTCAACAAGTGGATAAATTGTAAATTTTTAATGGTTAATATTTTTTCATGTGTAAAGTTATTGTTTGGTAATTCCGTGCGTTGACAATTTCAATTGCTTTACTTAACATGAACCCGTTTTATTGTTGATACATAATTTTTAAAATATAAGTTTCGTTACCGTAAATATTTTTGTTGGTCAAGGACCTTCCAAAAAAAACAAGTCCCATCATTTGAAGTTATTTTTTACATTGTTTATAAATTAAGTTAATCTAATTAAAAAATATCTAGATAATTGATGTATATGGAAAATATCAAAGGTAAATTACATGGAACATCAATACAGTGATTAAATAGTTATCTAAATTCTTGAAATGTCAAATGTTAACCACAATTATGGGTGGAAATCGGGCGGAACGGATCGGAAATGGTTTTTTCTGAAAATTTAGAAATTTTTTCGGAAGTTAAAATGGGTTGCAATTTATGTTCCAAAAAAATTGGAATTCAAAAATCCATTCTGATTTCGAAATGACCGGGAATTGGCGGAATTTCAGAAATTGAATTAATTTATAATCTCTTGAAACAAATTCGAACATTATGAGAATTGTCACTAATTTTCGTAATTTTCTAGTGAAATGCATGAAAATCCAAAAAATAATTCAACAAAAATACAACAAATAAAACCATATGTAGAAAAAAACAATATACAACAAAGTTTCTGATACAAGAAAAAATGCACCAGATAGTTCTGATACCATTTAATTTTTCTAAAAGTTTTTAATTTATTTGGACCTTATTCATATTTATCATATAAAATATGACATAGATTATATTACGAAATTACAAAAACATATCATAAAATTATATTATATATTTCGAAAAACAATCAAAATATTCGTAACTAAAGTCGGTTGGAAATCGGAATTTTTTTTGGAAAAATGGGAAATCAAAATGAAAAATTCGGATATAAATCAAGGGATAACTAGATGGAACCCCCTTGTTTGGAACTTATATAGATGGAGGTCCATTTTATTAGTTGATTATAGCTATAGGTCCCTTGACCAATAAATGTAATGTAAATTAAATTAAATTATTTTTCTATTGACATTGATACCCTTAATTATTATTTATATTGAGATAGTTAGTTATGGAAAATATGAATAAAATCCAACATTTCCCTCTGCCCTTTAACTTCTCTCTCTCTCCTCTCCATCACGTATCTCTCACTTCTTTTCTCTCTCCTTTAACTCCCCTCTCTCTCTCCTCTCAATCACGTCTCTCTCTCTCTCTCTCTCTCTCTCTCTCTCTCTCTCTCTCTCTCTCTCTCTCTCTCTCTCTCTCTCTCTCTCTCTCTCTCTCTCTCTCTCTCTCTCCTCTTTTTTTTTCTTTTTTTCTTTTCTATTTTAGTAGCCTCATGGCTCTCTCACTCTAAGTTGTCTCACGGCTCTCTCACTCTAATTGCAAAATACAATTAGCAACATACAAACTGCAATTTATAATAGCAAAAATAAATAGCAAAATAAAATATAATACGGAACGACATACGATATGTCAAAAATATTATTTTACAAATGTCTTTTCACAACAACACAATTTGGAACTAATGATAATTTGCTCAAACATCAGAGGTTCAAGTTTATTCTTACTCGAACAATATAAAATATATTTAAAATATAAAATATGAAATAAAAGATAATATAACAAACCAACAAACCATTTTTATTTAGGAATAAATCAGTACATTAAATACAAATGTAAGATACAAATTACTAGATATCAGCAGTGTTGCAATATAGTCGATGAACAAACTACAATCTATCATAACTGATTATGGCTGGGGTGATGTCATAAGAGACATAGTCTCGACGTCCGACTGAATTCACAACTTCCAAACATCATCGGGGATCTTCTAGAAACATGATCGTGTCATTAGCATCAACCTCTAATGAATCTCTTGTTTGTTTTCTTCTGGCCTATAGTTGCACCGACGGTAAAATGCGAGTTCAACCAAAAAAGCTTCCAATAATAATATGCACAAATTTGCATCAATGCATATTACAATATCAAAACACATCATAGAATCCCTATTGAAAAATACAATGTTCGAAGTTGCAACAACGAGATGCAAAAAAATACAATTGCTATTCACTACAAGAAAAGTATCTATTGATAGCACTTCATTATAGCGTTTTTAACGGAAATGCTATATTAGCTATTTTTTTTATTTTTATAAACTTATAGTAAATAATAGAAAACGCTATAACATTAGCACGGCGGGTTTTACCCTTAAAATACTCGCCAAAGTTTTTTTCACAAACATATCTCTACTCTCTGGCTCACTTTTATCTTTCAACCCCTCGCCAAAGTTTTTTTCACCTTTATTTCCCGATTAGAAAACCCCTCTGAAGCTTTCATTCAGTCGTTGCGGCGATATCTCGGGTTTTCTCTCTTACTCAATCAGAACCCCTCTTTATAGGCGACACAAATCCGTGAACCAATGTTTGAAGACTGCCATCTCTCTATTCACCATTGACCTGTTGTCAATATCTTTCTGTTTTTCTCATTTTTTACCAGCGATGAACGTATCTCTAACTTTCAATTTCCAGATTTCTCCCAATTTTAATTTTTGTTTTTTTTGTTTTTGTTTTTTTTTTATTTTTGCAAGAAGCCCTAAATTCACTCAATTAATTTACTGCTGATTTACCTAATCTTTCTCTAAAGGAAAAAGACGATGATCGTTTTTAACCTTTTCTAAATTACAATGTTCTATAACCCATTAAAGAATTGATATTTTATTTTCGGTTCACACACGGCCACTATTAATTCTGGTATGTGACTTTAGTAACACATGGTTGTTTTGTGGTATAAACTATGCAAGTATGATGATTTAGAAAATGTAGGGTTTTAATAATAAATTGTGAACTTTTGGTGAATTCAATCTCTTTTGCTTTAGGTGGAAGTGCATTTCATAATGTAAAATTGATAAAGGTAAAAGAGAAAGACAAACAAAATTGGCTATTTATATGATTTAATATCTGAGAATGTCGTTTTCCTGTTTGGTTTAGTATCGATCAACTTTTTTTGTAGCCATCAATATATATTGAAGATTAAATTTCATTTTAGATGTAAATGTGGTAGCAGTTCCAGTTTTCTTTTATGTATATCTAAGTTTATTAGATTCTTCTATGCACTGTTTCACCATTATGCATATGTAATTTTACGGGATTCTTCTATGGTCTATTTATATAACTTTAGGTGTGAAGTTTTCTAAAGTTTTGGGAACCTCTTACTACATATTCAAGCAACGTAACGCTCATTTGAAATCAATGGCTAGACTCATATATGAGGTGTTGGGGCGATTCTTTGTCTTGGTGTGTGGAGTTTCTTCATTCCTGACTGGTAACATTGATTTCTTTCTTGAACTTGGTCATCCTGCTCTCTCTATGACGCGTAAATACGTGTATATATTAATATACCTAACATATTATTTGCACTACTAGTGGAGTTTTTAGTTGCAATTGCAAATGTTCACATATAATACTGTATGATTTAGTATTTTGAATTTATTTCGTTTAATGTTTATACTGAAAGATTTAGTATTTTAAATTTGTTTGGTGTATTGTTTATGCTGAATGATTTAGTATACTGAATTTGTTTGGATTATTGTTCATGCTAAACTATTTTAGTATTTTTTAAATTTCGATACTCTGAAAATATACTATTGGGTTTAACCTATTTAAGCGATTGCATACTATATACTTATCATTTTATATATTACAGCCTTAAATATCTTGACGGAGCATCTAGGACAATTTTTATCAAGAGAGAGGACAAAGGATCACAAGGTACTTACACTGATTTTGTACGTTGATGATTTTTTTTGCTTGTAGGGATTCTCTTGTCCATAATAAATACCATCCGTATTTTCTATATTGTGGTTAATCAACTAATATATAAGATTTTTTTTGCAGGTTTTCATTTGTAATATAATATATATATATACTAACAACGTATATGCTTATTTATTCAAGAAGTTTTTATGTATTCAGGTATTGGATTTAGGATGTAACATACTAACTGAGGACATGGTACTTTAGGTGATTGAGTTCGTAGGTAATCCCCATAAATGTTCAATGCTTGATTACTTATTTTTCTAGTCGTATAGAAATTTTGTAGAGATGGTCAACTATTTTATGTCCGATGCAATTTAAGTCAAAATTGAGGGTAATGATTCTCCATCCAAAGAACTGGTCTGAAATTGTTAAACGAACATAGGTGCTAAACTATTAACAACCGGGAGTATATAGTTTTATACTCAATTATTTTATTTTTTGTAACTCAGTGTAAATTTTTGTATCTTTTGGAACAGGTCAAGGTGATGGTGAAGAACTACAAATACAGATTTGAGATGCAATGCTTTGAAGTAACAATAGATTTTCCTTACCGAGTTTCTAAGACATTGTTGAATTTAGCTATTTTCTACTCAATCTAGTTGAAGTAGTCCTTGAAGACAGCTAATTTTTGTATTGTTTCTTCAATTGGGTTCAAATACTAATACAAATGATTGATTTTGTAACAGTTTTTTAATATTCATTTCGTATTTTACATCATTGCTGCAGTAAAGTTAGAAGGTTCGACATTAAAAATAAATAGTGAAAAATTGATACAGTAGCATTTGCTATCAGTGATATTTAAGGACCCCCCTTTCATTGGTAATTCAATAGAGTTTAACACTGCAATAGCACTTTAATAATGACATGAAAGAGGTATGATAGCGTTTGATTATTGTTGTAAGAACACATACAATAACAAAGAAACAATGCTATCTAAAGTAACACTAAAATAGCGTTTTAGAAACGCTATCTAATGTAGAACCTACAATAGCGTTTGACAAACGCTATAAAAAAATCTAGATCTATTATAGATCGGGCAGATATAGCGTTTGTAAAAACGCTATGGAATCCTATAATAGCGTTTTTTAAGGGACAATTTGCTATAGGTCCATTTATGTGTGTAAATTCAAGTCAAAATTTAATGTTTTAATAAATTAATAATATTTATTATGGCAAAAATACCCTTAATTAAATCAAATCAAATCCCCAAAAATCTCTCTATCAAAATAAATTTCCAAACATTTCTTCCAAATATTAACTAAAACATATAAATTAATTCATAACAAAAATATACAATTTATTTTACAAACTCATACTCTAAAAACGCCACCGCAGCTCCACCACCGCCTATGATTCGGGAACTGCGACGCCTATGACTCCGCGAACTGCAAATAGCAAACTGAAAATTAGATTTTATATTATTGAATTACAAACAACAAAATATCTATGATTTCGCCAAATGCAATCAGCAAATTGAAAAAACAAAATCCATAATTTGTATTACTGAATTACAAACAAAAAATTACCTATGACTTCGCCAAATGCAAACAGCAAACTGAAGAAAAACATTCAACAAAACTTGCATTATTGAATTGCAAGCAATAAACTACCTATGACTTGGCCAATTGCAAACAGCAAACTGAAAAATAAAAATAAAAAATCAGCATCATTAAAAACATCAACCAAAAAATTGTTTATGGAACAATTTGCAAACAACAAGAACATTAAACAAAATGTTTATAAAATGTAACTTAAGACATACCTTGCAAATTGTAAACCAGAGGAATCGAATCTCAACATCAAACGCAATTCTTCAAACAACAAACGAAGTTAAACCAACCTGCAAACGGAAATTGCTAACAAACAAAATGATGGGAAGGTTCTCCATACAAGAGACACAATGTGAATTTTGGCTATGATTTTGGATTTTTGAACTTTTGTTGTCCTCTTTAATTCTTCCACCAATAAATCATCTCATAATCTAAAAAGATCCCTATTTCTTTCCTTCTCAATAATATTTCTTTATCAAAAAAGTAAAGAAAAAGGAAAAAAGAACAGAGAAGCTCGAGAGAGGGAGAAAGGCGTGAGACACAGTGGGAGAGAAAGAGATGAGATATTAAATATAGGGTGAGAGAAACGTGAGATTGGAGAGAGAAAATATATGAGATTTGTTTTCTTATTAATTGATGGTGATTATGTCTATACACTAATTATTTTATTTTATTTATATTATTTTTTTGAGTCAAATGACCTATGCCTATATTCATCTAGCAACTTGGATCTATACCTATATAAGTCCAAAATAAGGGGTGTCTAGCAAATTTCCCCGTTTTTCAAACGATACGAATAAGGATTTTTCTTGTAGTGATTGCAATATGCAATACATTATGAAACGGCAAAATACAAAAGAAAAAAAAAGCCACACACACATTAACTTTAATAAGAGTTTAGAAAGAGAACAAAAAAATATGTGAAACCTTTCATAGTTATTCCCAAAGAAGAAAAAAAAATTAATATTAATTTGCAATAACGAGCTGCAAATTAAAATATGCAGAACTGCAAAAGTGAAAATGAAAACCGTCTAAAGGAACAACATCAACAAACTTCGAGTTGCAGACAACAACATAAAAAACATAAACTACAACAACATCAACAAAATAGTGGCAGCAACAACCAAATGAAAGTAGCAAATAACCATATCCAAATGTAATTGTCCACAACAAACTGCAAAATGCAAACGATACAATGACAATAAGTTATTTTCAACAAGTATTTTGTTATGATAGATGAAACCATTAGTTACGACACCAAACTGCAAAATATTACAGTAAAGTGCAACTTGTACTATGATAACAACAAAGTCGAAATGAAATATAATATAAAAGAAAAGTACGCATCATATAAGCAAAATCCAAAATAAACAGCAAAGTGCAAAATATACTATGCTAAAAACAAAAAAAATCCAAACAAAAACCGATAAAATGTTTCAATCGACATAAAAAAATTATGTAACAAGAAACAGCAAAATCAAAAGCAAGAAACCAATGATTTTCACATAAAAACAGATATAGTAACTGGGGTCGAAGAATCAAAGTGCAAAATACACATAAAAACAGCAAAATAAAAAAGAAACAAAAAAAAAATTCTTTGCAAAAAACAAAGTTATTACCTGGGGTCGTAGGCTCCAAATCTCTGTCTTTCACTTCATTCATAAAAAAAATCCATTGTATTTCGTCAATGAATCGCGGTTTTTTAAAAAAAATACAAAAAAATGCAATATATAGCAAATTACCTGTACGTTTTAAATTTTGCGCCATCTTCTCGGTTTCTAGACCTACAGACTCTCCATCGATCTCAGCAATAAGGGGCTATGATTACAGAGTTTGGGTTGAACGAAAGGGGGGAGAGTTTTTGCATGTTTCAATTGACGAGATTTGCAGATTTTTCCCTTCGGTGGCGGTTTGCAGATTTACAACTTCTTTCTCGATTAGAGAATTAGGGCTATCGTGTGCGTTGAAAGAAACGAGAGGTGAGTTTTTGCAGTTTTTCCCTTCGATGGCGATGTGAAGATATACAACCCTTTCTGTCGATTTGAGAGTTAGGGCTATAGGGTGCATTGAAAGAAACGAGAGGTAAGATTTTGCAGTTTCAATCTCACGATTTGAGATTTTTTTGCCTCTTTTTTTAGCTAAAAAACTAATTTGGTGGATAATTATAGTTAAAAGCAAATTTTCCTATTTTGCTGCAAATGGCCAATCACCCAAAAATATTAGTAGGGGTTTTAGAAAAATTATGACTTGGACTAGGACCTATATAATCTTAGAGTGGAGAGTTTATAAAAAATTACCCCATTATTTAATGGGAATCGGCATAATTCAAAAATTTCATTCCAACACCCCTAACTACATTACATTTTTCACTTTTCTTTTTTCCTTTATTTTATTTTATGAAATATATGTATGATGATGTTTTTTGTTGTCATATGTCTAATATTATTAAAATATGTTATTAAAATGATGTTTAATTGTAAATGTACTAAGATTGCTCATACTAGCTTCATCAAATCAAGTTCATTAACTCCTGAATCTTTAGTGCATTAAATATTAAAATAATTACACATGGATCACCCAATTAATTTACTAAACTTAATATTATTCATTTATGTATTCTTTTATTTTATAGAAAAATGTATTTAGTATTTGACATATATGTTAAATATTGTATTTTAAATTTTAATGTACATTTTGGTAGAACTTTATACATAATGTACAAAATAATATATTTTTAGAGTTAATACCGGATCTATTGTCTGAAGTGAGACAAGCTCTAAATTATCTTCATGCACACATTTTGAAGAATGAGATATCAAAATTTCGGTGGTGTTAACGTATGTAGTTTTGAGTTTTCAATGAATCTAGATTTCTGTCCAACTTGCAGATGGTCAAACGAATGCATCATCATGAGTTGATGTGTGTGTATTTATGTTTTTGTCTAGGATTTGGAAAGGCATAATGTTTGGTGACCTTATGTAAATTGAATAAGTCTTTAGTGTATGGCTTAATGTCAAAGAGGTCCATGACAATATTTTTGTCTTTCAAATATTTCCAGCTAATTCAAACTTATTTGCAAATAAGGAAAACCATTTTATATATACCAAAACTACCTACATTTCCTTGAAAACTAATTCAACTCCAATTTCATGATTTACACCCCAATTTAACCCAATTTCACCAATTAACCAATTTTGACCATAATTCCAATTTTGACCCACCACCACCGGAGACCGCCGGTCTCCAGCGTTGACCACCAGTCAGCCGGCGTTAACCGCCGGTCTCCGGCGTTAACTGTTTCATTCTTTTTTTTCTCCGCTAGGTCAACCGCCGTTGATCGTCGGGTCTCCGGCGTTGACTTCTTTTTTTTTCTTCAAAAAAATATTTTAATTAATAGGGGTCTTAGGATATAGGTCCCTCGTGACAAAACTTATTTGAACTAAATGACAAGTCTAACTAAACATTTGCTTCACATCCTTTATAAAATTCATTCCAAAAATGCCCTCCACTCACAAATTCGAAATATTCATTAAGTAAATTCCAAATTGCATTTATCATTTTATTTATCGTGCATTTAATATTTTCATATTTTCATCTAATATTTTTTTCTTCAGAATATTCGTTTGTTTTCATTTTTCTCGTTATTCATTTTAGCATTTTATACACTATTATAAAAATCTCTTTATTTTTTCCTTCTTTTTTTCTACATAATATTCAGAATTACAAAAAAAAAAATTTCTATTTTTTTATTTTTTTTAATTTCAATTTACATAGTTTTTAATTTTTCTGTAGTAGACTATGGTATACTACGACGTACTGTAGTATACTATAGTGTAGTGGTGTACTATGGTATACTACGGTGTAGTATAGTATACTACACTGTACTATGTTTTACTACCAAACCCTAGCCACGAAAAACTCCTAGCCGTCGCAAACCCTAGCAGCCGCCGCCAACCCTAACAACCCACGCTCGCAGCCGTCGCGGCTATAATCACCTACCAACTTGGGAAAACCTAGATCTGACATTTGAACAACCCAAATCAAGCAAAATCTTTCAAAACACAAGGAAATTAGATCCAATTAATTAGTCAAAAAATACTTTCCATAATATTTATCACAGCCCTGCCCGCACAACCGCCACCACACCTTCCACCCGCCGCCGCCGACCCCCACCCACCGCCACCGCCTTCACCGGCGGCCACCGACGGGCGCCGCCTTAACTCGCCGATGTGCCTTCACCGACCGCCGTTGCCTCCACCTGCCATTGCCGCCTCCACCAAACCCTCTCGATCCATCGCCGGAATTTGTAGATCTGTTGTTTTCCGCCACCATAGTCCACCGATCATAGCCACCGTCACCAGCCCAACCATTATTGAGGAGCGAGATCGATGTTGGGAGATAGAGATTGAGAGAGGGAAAAAAACGAAAGGGAGAGAACGAGATGGAGAGAACGAGAGAGAAGAGAGAAAAGAAAATAAGAGAAAATAAATCTGATAAGTTGGAGAAACGTGAATATAGATATTATATTTAGGGTATAAGGGCAAACTAGGGATTAAAAAAAATTAAAGGATGTGGCTCATATATTATTTGAAAATAGGGATTTAATTAAAAGATTAAATTTAAGGTTGTCATTTAGTTCAAATTAGGTTTGATTTGAGGGGCTCTTAGCATATTACCCCTAATTAATATTACTGTCTTGGCTGCTAAATTACTGTCTCCTAATAGTAATTTAACTGTTAATTGACCTTTTTTTCCTCTTAAAAAAATATTTTAATTAATATTACTGTCCTGACTGCTAAACTACTGTCTCCAACAGCAATTTAACTGTTAATTGACTTTTTTTTTTTTAATTTTGTTTTTTCTTAGAAAAATTATTTTAATTAATACTACTGTTTTGGCTGCTAAATTATTGTCTCCAACAATAAATAACTGTTTGAAACAGTAATATATCTTTCTGAGACAATAAGGCTCTGTTTGATTGGCTCTTAGTTTCTGATTAAGTAAGAGATAGACTAATTAAGAGTGTTTGGTATGCAACTCTGACCGGAACCATCTATTGCTTATCGATTCAGTAAAATAATTGGGACTTGATGGTTCAGAGATGGACTGAATAAAAATTAGACAAAAGTATCCCCATTAAATTCTCTGTTGGTCGTCATGTTCAAAACCAAATAATCAATTTATCAATTTACCACTACCATCACTTCATCCAATAAATCTCCACCAAATTTACGTTGAAATTTTACCACTTTATTTTCACAATTATAGAATTTAGTTTACAGTTTTTTTCCCTTTTCCAAATAAATATAATGGGCAAAATACGGCCCACTCCCTAAGGTAAGGTATAATTACGAAAACAATCCGCTTATTTGCATAATTACAACCACCCTTCTCAACTATGTATCATCCTACATGTTCACCCTTACGGTGTCAAATTTACCTAGGGGTGTTCATTTGGTCGGTAAACCGATCGAATCGAATTGTATACATATATATATTCAATTTATATATATATAT